GCTTGGCTCTTTCAGGGAAAAGAAGCAAAGCAGCAGCCCTTCTGTTGGCGGCGGGCTTCCCGCTGCCCCTGCCAGCGGAACCGGATCGCCTGGACCTTGCGGGCGATTTCCCTGGTGGGGGCTGCGACCGAAGAAGCCGCGGAGGGGCCTTTAAGTCTCGCGCGGTGGTAATCGAAGATGGGAACGACGCAAAAAGCAAATGTGGGAACCATCTCACCAGCTTCCCACCGCAAAAAAAAACCAGGTTGTGCGTGTCCCTGTATCTTGCCCTGCCTGTATCACCACCCTGGCCCTAAATTTCTGAAAATGAGGGTTTTCAGACCTGCCCACGGGGGCAGCCCTGTGCTGGCAAGGCTGAAGGTCTCCACTTCTTCCTTCTCCCTTCAAAGCAGGGACTTCTTTTGAGGCAGTTTTGGGGACCCTCCCTCATGGGGCCACCCGCTGAACCAAGAGCCGATTTTCCAGCCCCTCCATGAATTGCCGTCAGTAATTTCCAAGAATGAAATAGTAGTTTAAATATTTCATGGCCAAAAGATATTCAGCACTGGAACTGATGGCAGGAGAGGAGAGTTCTTTGCTTGTCGTGAACCGGTTCCCTTTCTCCTGTGTAATGCCAGGGCGCAGAACTGACGTACCTCCCTGGCAAACACGTGTCAGGAGCACGTTTTTATTTGTCTCGGGAACACGGTGCATTCCCAGTTAATAACGCGTAATGACTGTCTCTGTGCTGTTAACAACCACGGGTCCATCTCGCGTGTGGCTGACCAGGCTGACCATGCAAGGTCCCTGTCCCTTGCCCTGCCAACCCCAAAAGATCTGCAGAACGCTTCCCAAATATGTTAGCGATATAGCCAAGAAACAGGCGTAAATCCAGTGTAATAGATGGGGGAATTGCCCCCAGATGTTTAGAAAATTCAAGCTGGCCCTTAGTCGTGCTGTCCCTGCCCACTTTGAAACTGCACTGAAGAAGCAGCCGCTTTCCTGGCAGGGTCGGGCATCCTCCGAGGTAAATGCTTAGGCAGGGAGATTACTACAAAAACAAACAAGAAAAATCCAACCCTGGAAATTGCTGCAGTGCATAATAGCTCTGACTCAGTTTCCACTACTGAGGAAAGGAGAAGTTTCCCTCACCTTAGATAACAGCCCCTTCCCTGAATACATGCTAGGAGAAACCTGGAGCAAATAGTTTCAGTTTCATGGGTAAGCCCTGGGCTAGGTGTGTTGGATGTTTAGCTGGAAAGGAATCTGTACTTGCTGGGAGCAATTTCTTGCGTTTGGCGGTTGTTTGGGGGATAAAGGGAATGCAAGGGCTGGTTTGGGGGGATCTGGGGAGGGGCAGAGCCCCAGGGAAAGGAGATCGGGGCTGGCTGGGTGTGCTCATCGCTGCCTTTCCTTTCTCTCCCGCTCCCTTCACCCAGATGGCTCCTTCCCCATGAGCCAGCGCAGCTTCCCGCCGTCCTTCTGGAACAGCACGTACCAGCCCTCCTCGGTCCCAGCCACCCTCAGCAGCCCGCTGGCAGCTGCTGCCCACAGCGAGCTGCCCTTCGCCGCCGCCGACCCCTACGCCCCGGCCTCTCTGCACGGCCACCTGCACCAGGGTGGCCCCGAACCCTGGCACCATGCCCACCACCACCACCACCACCACCACCCCTACATCGGGACACAGAGCAC